TCATCTAAAGCATTCGGATTGTCTGTAGCGCTTTTAGTTTTCTCTGGAGGGCTCGCATAAGTTATGTCATCGCACAGCGACATATATATTGATCGGACGGAAAACACGCGTGCCGCTTAGCGATTCAAAACGCTCATTCCCCGCCACAAGTTCTTTATCGTCAAAATATTCTTTTCATTCTTTACCCACAATATTTGCATCATATCAGAATATTTTTCAGCTTATACCAATTTAAACCTTGACTGAGCAGCTTGCACAAGACGAGTCGCCGAACCGCCACATATTGACACTTACCGCAGGTCAGTCGACAAGTCATCGTACTAAAACCGCTCTATCTCAGATAAAAATTAAAATATTCTTTAAATATTAGTTTTCATTCTTCCCTGATAAATTACACATTATTTAAAACAATCGGCTTGGGTCTAGCGCTTTTAGTTTTCTTTTTCTCTTTTAGTTTTCTCTGGAGTTTATATATATATATATATATATATATATATATATATATATATATATATATATATATATATATATATATATATATATATATATATATATATATATATACACTCTTTACGAAACACAAACAGTGCTCAATACCATATAGATAGAGCGTAATATAGTTTTCGTTTTACCTCAAAAAACCACAACAGTCTGTTTCATCCGTATAGGAATCATCGTTCTAAAACAACGCAAACAATACACTCATGATTCCTATACGGATGAAACAGACTGTTGTGGTTTTTTGAGGTAAAACGAAAACTATATATATATATATATATATATATATATATATATATATATATATATATATATATATATATATATATATATATATATATATATATATATATATGCGCACGGTCACTGCTTGCAGTTTGAGCGCTCTGGCATGGTTTTGATGTCCCACATTCGTGAGGCATCAAAGGTAACTGTAAATAGCAGTTACTTTCATCCTGCTCATCAGCACTACACTGATGAGGCCCATAAGGCCGAAACGGTACCGTCTGTAGTTAGATATCGCTCTATGACCTTTAGGTCATATTGAGCGCTCTACAGGATGAGCCATTGCCGCTTACGCATTGCGCACGCTCACTGCTTGCAGTTTGAGCGCTCTGGCATGGTTTTGATGTCCCACAATCGTGAGGCATCAAAGGTAACTATAAATAAGAGTTACTTTCATCCTGCTCATCAGCACTACACTGATGAGGCCCATTAGGCTGAAACGGTACCCTCTGTAGTTAGATATCGCTCTATGGCCTTTAGGTCATATTGAGCGGTCTACAGGATGAGCCATTGCCGCTTATCCATTGCGCACCCTCACTGCTTGCAGTTTTAGCCGCTTTGGCATGGTTTTGATGTCTCACATTCGTGAGGCATCAAAGGTAACTGTAAATAGCAGTTACTTCCATCCTGCTCATCAGCAGTACACTGATGAGGCCCATAAGGCCGAAATGGTACCGTCTGTATATATATATATATATATATATATATATATATATATATATATATATATATATATATATATATATATATATATATATATATATATATAATTTCGCTTACCTCAAAATTCCGCAACAGTCTGTTTCATCAGTAAAGAATCATCAGGCGAAACAGACTGTTGCGGAATTTTGACGAATGCAACAGACTGTTGCGGAATTTTGAGGTAAGCGAAATTCTAAATTTGCTCTATCTTTATGATATTGAGCACTCTTTGCGTTTCGTATTCATAAACCTACTCGTATATATATATATATATATATATATATATATATATATATATATATATATATATATATATATATATATATATATATATATATATATATATATATATATATATATATATATATATATATATATATATATATAAATAATGTGTAATTTATCAGGCAAGAGCGAAAACTATATTTAAAGGATATTTTATTAGTGAAGAATGAAAAAAATTATTATAGCGTTACCTTTATTCCTTACGACGATACAGCGATTTAGATGGGAACTAACCGTATCTTTCTCAAGATTTAATTGACCCGACACAGTTTGGCGACTTGACTTATGCAAGCTGTTTCGAGCAATCTAGAAGAAGTAGCGACTCAGTGATTGCTTTATATGATAGTCCTTTTCTTGAAGAAGAACGAAAAAACAATATTGTTAGGATGGGTGAAGGCTGTGTGGAGCCATTCGTACACGAACGCCATGCTTCTGGCTCCAGGTTCAATCTGAAACTGGAGCTGCGAATCTGAAATTGAAGCTGATTGGCTTCTCGGATGAAACTTGAAACTTAATCCTATTTACAAAGCACACGATTTAATGCACATGTTATGTGCATGATAAGCTGACAGGACGCGGAAAGATTAACACAGCGGTATATTTAAATGTCCAGCTTTTAAATGTTACTTAAAAGGAATTTTTTATTATGCCTACATGCTGATACTAACTCGTTACGTTTGTTTAAAGTGGCCATTTTAGGCTTACAAATAATAAAGTATTTCTCCCATAAACACAAATTACATCGATTTGAAGCACAGTTATAAGGCTTAGCTCGTTTTTATAGTTTCCATTTGATTGTATAATCGATGTTACGATTTTTCAATTCCCACACATATTTGCTAAGTTAAGTAGCTTTCCGTTTGTCAAAAGAGTTGAATGATGCTTTATGGTTTACAAGTCTTGTTTTGAACGAGTTTTCTGTGAGTCCGACATATGTTTGGGGAGATATATTTGTAGTTTTGTCCTTTATTCGTGATTGTGGCTTGATAAACAACCGATTTGGTGATACATTTGTTGGACAGTGCCAGTAAAACCACAAGCTACAGTTTAAACACCCGCTAAACCCAACGACTAACAAGAAAACCCGAAGCCGAAAAAGAAAGTTTATATAGTATAATATCATGATTGCGCAGCTAGGGAAATTAAAAACTAATACACCTCATTATATACATTTTTTCTAATCCTACCCGCTTTTACATCATGTCAGGTAGGATTAATTCTAATCCTACCCGATACAACGTCAAAGCCGGTACGATTAGAAAAAATAAATATAAATGAAAATATCTGAAATCGCGAAAGCTAAACAAAGACATGGAAAACAATTATAGTAGTATAGGAACTGCCGTAGCGAGACCACTAGTTTCGGAACGAGACCACGTTTTTTCGGCTTCGCCGAAAAAATGGTCTCGCTCCGGAACCAGTGATCTCACTACTGCAGTCCCTGTACTACACCGAATTTAGTTTCTTAATTAAGTGTTGTCCTTCTTGGGTGTAGGTACAGTGAATTTGCTATTCTAGAGCCTCTTCGACAACTTTTAAAATACCCTTGAGGTAACACACACACCCCTACACAGAACCGTCGGATATTAATTCTGAGCACTGATTAATACTTCCTACAACCTCCACAATACCGATTTTAGTTGTCACACTCAGATTCCAACTATTCACCGTTCTCTTCTATCAAAATACCAGGGATTCCCAAACCCTCAAACATCTAGATCCGATTTGCTTAATCTAGAGCCTCTTCAACAACTTTTATTTTCTCCTTGGGGGTACATAAGGCAGGGGGCCCTACCTGCTTATTTACCCTTTAGGATTATTACTTTCTACTTTGTGGGAACTTCTCAGTCGCTATTTTTTATATTCTTGTTACCATAAGCATAACTGGTAACTCCATCCTTCAAAAGATACCTTTTATCATCAAAGCAACTCAGAGTAACCTTCCTCATTTCATAAGTTCCAATTGTATGCTTCGTGCTCCTGATTGTATTCATGTTGTGTCTCATCCTACCCTTCGTGTTGATTACATTCTTGAAGTTCTCATGAGTGAGCTTGTTCCTGATGACATACTTCTTAACCCCTTTAGCTGTCATTCCACCCCCACCGTTTTCCTTGACATAGGAGTACATTTTTGACCTCAACCCAACAAACTCAATTATGGGTACTCCTCCAGCTTCATCCTTAAACTTACCTATAACCTTCTTGTTGTGGGTTGAGTAGTAAGGGCTATCTTTTGGGTAATCAGAATTATCCCAGCAATCCTGCTCTTCACCGATCCTCCTGAAGTCCTCATAGACATCATCCGTCTTCAGTTCATTCGTCATCAGACTGTCAGTATCAGTGAACAGTAACCTTGAACTGTTACCGTACTCCTTCTTGATGATATTGTAGTGGAAGTCGTACATTAGAGTCTTGGATAGATCTAAGATGCTCATTCCCACGTAACACGGCTTATTCAGCGTTAGCACTTCCTTCATTCGCTTTACTACTATGAGATTCTCATTCATGATTCGATGTGACTGGAAGGATGGTGATGCTGTCAGTTTTAGGAGGTCGTCTTTGGAGGACACTAATTTCACATCAACCCTTTTCCTAAGATTCTCCATAGTCTTTCCGTAGATCGAGTTGTTCATCAACTTGAAGAAGTTCTTTTCGAACGTGTTACGGGCTACTGACCACTTTTTCGTATTGAAGTCTATATAGTCCTTGAGCCAGGGAGACTGCTTAAATGTAACCGCTCTATGGACGTACCTTCGTGAGTTTCATCTCAAGGTCTGTGTACAGTTTCAGATTACGTACATGTGAGACGTACTTCTTCCTGGGGCCTAGTGAAGTCACTAGTTTTCTTACTCCTCCAATTGTCAGTTGGAAATTCTCAGCAATACTCTTCGCGTAATCTGACAACATAGAAGCATCAATTTCCTTACTCTCTGGTGCTAGAGGATAACCGTTATGTAAGTCGTGAAGTTCGTGTGGATATTCCAGGTCAACCTCCAAAACCATCCCTCTCACACCGTCTCCTAAGTAGTCATCCAGCTTTATATTATCAGGGTCCTCAACCCACTCGAACTCTCCATTAGGTAGTGATTGTGACATCGTCCAGCCATATAAATTATTAGCGTCGAGGTACATCAGGTACTTGTTCTCAGACGACTCATCGTAAGTCTCCATGTACTTATTATTAGCTGTGGAGTGTCTATGGGCAATATAACCTGTACCACCTCTCATACCTTTCTCGAAGAACTGGAACATATCCATATCACTTACTAGTTCTATTTTTTCACCTGACTTTTTCAGGAAAGCGTCCCAACTCAGACTAGGTGCTGACATGTAATGTGCGGGGTCAAGTTCGTAACTTTCCAGACATGTTCTCCTTAAGTTCTCGAACACATCGGCCAGCAGAAGAACGTCAGTCTCCAAGTAGAGATAATGGTAGTCTCTCATGGTTTTCATCCCAAAGTGATTCCATACTTTCTGAGCTCTATGATAGTCTTCCTCCTTCACCTCTGACTCGTATAGTGATGAGTAAAACTCCTCCCTGCTCGGAAGACCTTTTGCGTCAAGTTTGCTAATATCATCTAGGAACTCATATGGAAACACTCCTTTTTGTGTTACTAGTTTGAAGTCCTCACCCTTCCACCTCCTTCCTACTATCCTAAAGTCCTCAGGTAAAAGGTTACTTACCAGTGCTTCCAGTGAAGAAGCCATGAAATGTATAGAGTCTATGAAGACTAGATTTTTACCCAGTGAGAATGAGATGTATTTTTCCATATTATTTGGGATCACATTGACGTCCATCTTAAACCTACCAATTTCCTGCATAATCAGATGGCTATCGTAACCTCTCAGATTATGGAAGACCACTGGCACTTTCCATGTAATTCTGTACTTCAGATTACATATGTTGTGAGCAGCTCCACGGTACATTCCAGTTACATGGTCATGGTCCCTTACCCTATCCTCACCAAGATCGTTACCACATATTGAACAGTTTCTTACAGTCTGGAATTTGAATTCCTGTTCAGGCGTAATTACCATTTTCTTCTTGAATATATCGTTGACCATCTGTCTACATCTGAAGGACTCTTTCAAGACAATCTTTAGGAATACCAGTGCAGCGTCGCTTCCAACGTAACTCTTATACTCACCAGAGTACTTATCATCTTAGTGGCAGACTGTTTCTAAACTAAAACTACAGGCCTTGTGTGTCTGGTAGAGCTCTGTGCTACTATTGTCCTCGCTGTCCTTTGACTTCTCTTTTCTCTCTTCAGGCACTAGTATGGACTCAAAATCAGCGTATATTACAAACGGTACAGGCATTGAGTTCCTATAATTTTTTAACTTAATTTTTGTCCCTTCCTTGTGGAGTTTTGTGGCCTGAGTTCCGTTTACCTGTAAACATGTTTCCTTATGCTTTTCCAATACCTCCTCGCTAACGCAACTGTGAAGACAGTGTAAGCAGAAGTGTTGCTTATGTCCATGTTTACTCACACTGCACAACATTCTATTCACGTCCTTTATGAGAACATAATGTCTGTTACCATCACCGTCACCCAGGAGTAGAAGTTCCATGTGATCCTCGTACTCACCCTTGGAAATCCTTATAGGGTAGAACTGCTTTTTACCCTTATAACCGAACACTGATATGCTGATACTGTTTTTCCTCTCAATCTTATCAATATCACTTATCTTCACGGGGAACTCTATACCTTTGTAGTCTAGGTTCATCTCGAATTCCCTATCTTTCTGGGTAATAGTAGTTGCTCTTCTAGCCTTAGGGTTTAGGTACTTCACATGACTCCACATAAAGCACATGTTATCATCATTCTTCATATTGATGAGCCCACACATTGAATTACTGATGTCAGCGGGTAGTTTCATGTACGAACTCTCAGCTAGTGGTTTGTACATCGCAATGTTCACATAATGACTCTCAATATTGAGTATAATCCAGTTTGAACCTAGGTTTTGGAAGGTTTCAATTCTACACAAGATTGTCAGTTGGTTTTGAGCAGCTGTACTTTCAATATCCTCGAAGTTCGTAACAGTGCCAGTCTTAGATTTGAAGTAGACCGAATCCTTTTTGGTCTTCCCATCACCGACTTTCTTGGACATCCTCACCTTCAGGGTCTCTGTGTACTTCAACCCACCCATTCTCTTCAACTCGTTCACAAGTATTCCTCTCACTACCTGTCTACTTGCAGTCATCTGATCCAGAGGGTCCATATAATGAGGAGTTATCGAGTAAGTCACAGCGGCTCCATTGGCGGCTGTTTCAATTTTCCTGTGGAATGGCTTTTCAAGGTCTGTTCCGAATGGGTCTATTTTGTGTTCCTCTGGAATAACCACCATAGGCTGCTCCTCGGCTTCCCTCGACACCCTTACAGGCTTACGGACCTTAGGAGGAGACACTGGTTTCCTAGTCCTAGGTTTCGGTGCAGGTCTTTCCTTAGGAAGCTTAGTCCTAGGTTTCGGTACAGGTCTTTCCCTAGGAAGTACCGTTCTAGGCTTAGGTGTTGGTCTCCATGGTGCTACACCCTTAGGCACCTCAGGAGCTTTCCTCGCAGATTTCTTATTAAGATCCACACTGATCGTAAACTTGCCTGGACCCGTTGGAGTTATAACACTATTTGCTGGCACTGAGAGTTTTACCTTCCTCTGGCTCAGGAATCTTCCTGCTACAGTTTGCTTCTTTACTGTTGCATCAACCTTTACCTTTGGTGGTCTGTCCCTCTTCTTTGGCACCTTTACTTCAGCATCGGTCTTTACCTTTGGTGGTCTGCCTCTCTTCTTTGGCACCTTCACTTCAGCATCAACCTTTACCTTTGGTGCCCTGCCTCTGGGACGCTTTACCTTAGGATTCCTCTCATTTCCAATCCTCTTAATTTCCTCGTTAACAAGAACATCGTCGGTGCGCCATCTACCTCCCATTGTTGGTGGAAGTCCTTGAACTCCCTTAGATAATAGGCTCTGGTACGCTTCCTCTACAAGCACGGCCTTAGCCTTTTGTCTGTCGGAGTACTTCCACGTGGGCATAATTCCTCTTTTACCCTTGTAGTTCTTAGGTATTCTTCTAGGCTTACGTACCACCATATCGAAGTCCACCTCATCGACGAATGGACCTTCACTGTGGGAGTAATCTTCTTTGCTATCGGGTGTTACCCTGTAATCCGCATCCTCCAGGATTTCGTTAACATTCGCTTCTACATCATCTCCACCATCAAAGATACTGTTAAGTGCCATAAGTTGTTCGATGCTCATTTCTGACATGTTGTTGTTTTTTACTGAATTCATTTTCTTACTCTTCCTCTATACTATATGTGTAAAAAAAAATAAGGTATTTAATTAATAATTAATTTCGAATTTATTTTTTATTTAATTTATTGTTTAATTCTATTGATTTATTATATTAGTATTTCTTTAAGTGTTTTTTATTTTTTATTTAATTTATTGTTTAATTCTATTGATTTATTATATTAGTATTTCTTTAAGTGTTTTTACTTTTCCAGTTATTATAATATTTACATTTCTCAGGTTTCCATCCAAGCTCAACAAAAACTTTCCCGTATAACCTATC